GCGCTACCACGCCCGGCTCATTTTTTGATTTGTTGTAGAGATGAGGTCTCGCCAAGTTGCCCAGGCGGGTCGCGAACATAAAAAATATTTTTAAAAAAATAAAATTAAAATCACATGTTGTGAAATTAGGATGGTTTTTTACGTGGGCTTTCAAATATTAGCAAGTTGCTTTTTAACTACAGTATTAGCACTATGATAATCTTCCAAACGTATTCAGTAAAAGGCAAAAAACAGAAATATAGCTTTATTAGGAGAGTAACAAATCTACTAGCTCTCTAGTTTTTTACATAGTTTATCACTATGAGCTGCAAGATCTTCTACCAAACATGTACACCCTTATTCAAGCTCAGCCATTCCCTCACTCTAAATCTGTATCATCCCTAGTCCTCCTTAGCAATGTACAAGCATAAAGGATGTCTTCAAGAAGCAACCAGGTTTTCTGGGGGTTGAGCAGATAGTAGGTGTCCCCAAAATGCTAATGACTATCACCAATGACATTAATAATCAAAAGGGTGAGAACTCTACATCTGTGAGTCTACAATTACTATGGTACCTATTTCTAGATAAGTTAAATAATTTAAAATAACAGAACACAGGTGCTAAAATAATTCAGCTATGGAGGGAAATTGAGAATGGGATTTATGACATTCACCCTAGTTTAAAAATAATTCATAGCCATCCAAAACATAAGAGTTTAAAGGATTGGCAATGTTTCTAAGGTAAGTCTCTTAACTAAATTCTTCAGTCATACAGATACTTAAGGACAGGAAGAATAATTTGGTGACCTTCCAACTCTAGGTATTATTAAAACTCTCAAAGTGATGTTTTATGGGATAGGTTGAGAGCATTTGTTCAAAGGATAACACTTTCTTGGCTTTGAGTGCACTAGGAAAGCTGCAAGGCTAGAATACTTTGATGGCACAAAATAATTTAGACTTAAACTAGTGCTTCATGTCTAATAGTGGTCATGATAGTTTTAGAATTACTTATCACGGCAAGAGTAACTATGAAATTAAGTTCAAGAAGCTTGTTCCAAGATACTATCACCAACAAGTTTTGACATAAAGCAACATATACTTTTGCTGGCAAATGGACACACAGACAACATACTACAATGTCACACAAATAGATAACAAGTATCGCCTGACAGAAGTGATACAAATCATACTGAAATTGCCTCCAGTTATTATACTCAGTGCTAATTCAATGACAAACAGGTATATAATCTAATAGAAGTTTGAGACTTCCTTAAAAGATGCTTTTTTACTTAATTACATCTCAGGGTTATGTCCATTATTAATACTTTAGTCCTATTATGAAGAACATCCTTTCTAAATGTATGTTCATTCAAATTTTATCAAATAGTGGTATTACTATATAGTTAGCTAACCATTGCAACTTACAGTGACATTCAATTCTTCCTATTCAAATATAATCACTAATTTTGGTGCATTTGATAACAAGCAGGACATAATGTCATGAGAGCATACTTCTAGCATTCCATGTAATAAGCAAGTTTCAAATGCTTGCTAGCCGGGCTCGGTGGCTCAGCCTGTAATCCCACGCCTTTGGGAGGTGGAGGTGAGTGAATTGCCTGAGCCCGCGGGTTTGAGACCCGCCTGGGCAGCGAGACCTCA